AAAGAGTATGAAAACGATTTTTTTAGCGTTAAGAGTTAAGTTTTATAGGTATTTAAGTGTCTTAATTTATGAGAAGAGATAGTTATATTATTCTTTTTTTTTGGGTATCGACTGCTGAGTGAAAATGATTATTTGATGTGAAGTATGTTATATTATATAACGTAACATCATTGTATTGTATGATATAACGTACCTTCCTGATATATTTCATGTCCGTAGACGCTGGAAATATTTCTTTCTCTAAAACAACGTCCCTAAAAAAATGAAAAAAAAAAAAAAAAAAAAACGTAAATACAAATAAAAAAATATGAACATACACATACACATTTCGACAAAAAAAATCCAAAAAGATGTTACTCCTAAAGTTGCAACATGAAAACAAAAATGGAATATCTTCTACATACATTTTCTTGCAAGCGGACGAGAATGCATCCCACCAAGGGTTCCTTCCGTCTTCAACACACGTCACTGCTTTCTCCATCACCTGAGGACGAGGAAGGAGAACAGGTGATTCTGTACAGTTCTTTTTTTTTGGACAAATGTAGGGGAGGAAAAAGGTACGAGTGTCAGTGAATCATTCTACAGGGCGAGAGTTGTGATCGCGTCATTCTGAAGACTATTTTGATATGTTGATTACGTGTGATTGAATCATTCTACTGTTAAAATGGTTGTGTCTTGGATTGTATCATGTGTTTTTTTTCATTTAAATCTGTCTTCCCTCGATCTTTTTTTTTATTTTCCCTTCGTTCCCCGTCCCCTCACTTCCCCAACTACTCTCTTCCTTCCTTTCCATCTCTCACTCACTCTTTCTCTTTCACACACTCTTTCCCCCTCTCCCTCTCTCTCTCTCTCTCTCTCTCTCTCTCTCTCTCTCTCTCTCTCTCTCTCTCTCTCTCTCTCTCTCTCTCTCTCTCTCTCTCTCTCTCTCTCTCTCTCCTTTTCTTTCTTTAATCAGAAAACAATCGTTTGCTTCAATTTGAATGTCTTGCCAATGAAAGAAAGAACTCTGAAATCAGATCAATAGTGTTAGGAGTTATTCAGGCTTCATTTATTTCTTCTTTTCTTCCTCCCTTTCTTCCCCTTCTTCCCCTACCATCTTTCCATCTCCCTTCCTCACTCTTATGCGGTCCTCTCCCCAGCCTCTCCCACTCTCCCCCTCCCTCACCTACCTACCTCCCTCTCTCCCTCTCTTTCCCTCCCTCCCTCCCTTTCCCTCCCTCCCTCCCTTTCCCACTCTCCCTCCCTTTCCCTCCCTCCCTCCCTCGCTTTCCCTCTCTCTCTCCCTTTCCCTCTCTCCCTCCCTCCCTCCCTCACCTTCTGTCCGAACTCGCACGTGATTCCTCCCCCGGCCTCCTTGCACCAACCGTCGAGTCTCTCCTGGAACACCTCGATCTCCCCCGGCGGTATCCGGACGTCGAAACCCACGCTCAGCTCAGCAGGGACCACGTTGAACTGCACGCCGCCCTGGAGAGAGAGATGCCGCGGCTGGTTAGCGTCAAGGGGTGGGGTCTGGTGTCTAGGAGGGTATTTTTAAAATGGCGGACGGGTGTGGTGTATAGTCGGGCACTGGTAAAATGACGGGCAGGTGTGGTGTATAGTCGGGCACTGGTAAAATGCCGGGCAGGTGTGGTGTATAGTCGGGCACTGGTGAAATGGCGGACGGGTGGGAGCTGATGGGACGTTGGGAGCTGATAAAACGACGTACAGGTAGGAGCTGGTGAAACGTGTCTTAATTTGCGTTGGAATTTTTGGGAATTTTAGAATTTTAGAACATCGACACTAAAATACTAAATCAGAGGTACTAGTATGAAAGCATTGCCTATACAGCATGCTTAGTCTAGTCAAATTTTAGATAAGAGAAAGCTATGAGAGAAAGCTTTCCTCGCCTCCAGTTTCGTGAGGTTGATGGTGGTGACGTCGCCCAGCGTGAGACTAGGGTCCGCCTCCAGCCTGCGCAGCTCTTGCTCTCGAAATGCCATGAAGAAATTGATGATCTTCGCCAGCTTTTCTCCCGCTGTGTTCTGAAGGAACTGCGACCCGTGACCTGGCTGACCCGGGCACTTGATCAGGATCCCTGTGGTGAGAAAGGTGTGATTCTGTTACTGAATTATTACAAAGTCGGCTCTCTAGAGATGTTCATTCGTTTCTTAATATCTTAATATCTCAATTTCTTGATATCATTATAAAGTTGGCCGTCTAGAGATGTCTATATCATTTTTTTTTATATCCATCGAAACCCAAACCTACATAATGAAACTCCATCCTTCCCATAAAACAACAAAGAAATCACCACAAAACACAAAACGACACACGCACACCCATCTAAACCCAGCCATCGACCCGTTACCACAAGACAACAAAAAGCAACATTAAAAATCAAAATTCAAAATCTACCAACAAAAACAAAACACCAAGACCTACACCAGGGATTCCTCTGCCCGTAGAAGACCTTCATGGCGTCGCTCGTGCTCGCGTAGCCTTCGTCCAGAGCCACGCCCACGTTCATCCTCCTGAAGGTCTCCGTCTGCACTAAGCGACCCATGCCCTGCAGACCCCCGAGCTCCTCCTCTGCGGGGGGGAGACGGGAAGGGGAGTCAGAGGGAGAGTTCGGGTGAAGGGAGAGTTAGGGTGAAGGGAGAGTTGGGGTAGAGAGTTCAGACATCAAGGAACCCTAGTCCATATGCCCACTTAACAACAACCAAACTTTAATTCACTTCTACCTTCACTTCACCACTATTTACTTGAAGTCATAATAACCTTAAACTCAATGAAAGTAAATCCTATACATTTTTATCATATTAATAAAACTGCAGACATAAAACACAACATTTTTTTAATGAAACAGCAAGGAGAGAAGTAAAAAAAAGTACTGAAAGTTAATATAGAATGAGAACTAAAGCATAAAGAGATAACAGAAGCGACAAGGTATGGAATAATGGAAGCGTGAAAGGAATAATATTTAAAGTGAAAGGAGCTGATCTGCTTCACCTGATGATCTTATTTCACGTTGACACTTTTATGTAAATTTAGTTACTGTATCAAATTGTGTATTGTAGTAGTGTAGTGTGATGTGTTTATTCTATTATTATTTCAGGTCATATAGTCTATGTGGGCGGAGTCTATCTGCTATAAATATGTGACAATGCTGTTAGATTTCAGTATCTTGCACGAAGCTACTCACATAAATATGCAAACGCACGTTCTCTCTCTCTCTGTCTGTCTCTCTCTCTCTCTCTGTCTCTCTTTCTCTCTCTGTCTCTCTCTCTCTCTGTCTCTCTCTCTCTCTGTCTCTCTCTCTCTCTCTCTCGCTCTCGCTCTCGCTCTCGCTCTCGCTCTCCCTCTCGCTCTCGCTCTCCCTCTCGCTCTCGCTCTCGCTCTCTCTCGCTCTCTCTCTTGCCCCCTCCCTCTCTCCCTCCCTCTCTCCCTCCCTCTCTCCCTCCCTCTCTCCCTCCCTCTCTCCCTCCGTCTCTCCCTCCCTCTCCCCCTCCCTCTCTCCCTCCCTCTCTCCCTCCCTCTCTCCCTCCCTCTCTCCCTCCCTCTCTCCCTCCCTCTCCCCTCCCTCTCCCTCCTCCCCTCTCCCCCTCCCTCTCTCCCTCCTTCTCTCCCTCTCTCTCTCTCTCTCTCTCCCCCTCCCTCTCTCCCTCCCTCTCTCTCCACCTATTAATCTCTCCATCTCTCGTCCTCTCGTTCTTGCTCTCGACCTCTAACCCTATCCACTCTCCTTCTTCCCTCTCTTTGTCCTTCCCCCTTTCCCTCTCGCCCTCGTCTCTCCTTCTCTGGCCTCTGCCTCTCCCCTCACTCTCTTCATTTTCCCTTCTCTCATCGCCTCCTTCTTCTTCATCGCTTTTATCCTCTCCCCTCTCACTTTCCCTCTTCCCTCTCCCCCATTCCTTCCCCCTCTCTCTCCCTCTCCTTCCCTCTCACTTTCCCTCTTCCCTCTCCTTCCCTCTCACTTTCCCTCTTCCTCTCCCCCATTCCTTCCCCCTCTCTCTCCCTCTCCTTCCCTCTCACTTTCCCTCTTCCCTCTCCCCCCATTCCTTACCCCTCTCTCTCCCTTTCCTTCCCTCTCCCTTCTTCCCTCTGTCCCCCTTTTCCCTCCACCTCCCCCTTTCCCTCTCCTTTCCTCTCCCTTCTTCCTTCTGTCCCTCTACTCCCCCTCTTCCCTCCCCCTCCCCCTTTCCCTCACACACACACGCACAGACACACGCACAGACACACACACACACACACACACACACACACACACACACACACACACACACACACACACACACACACACACACACACACGCACACATCCACCCACCTCCCCCCACATGCACAAAACACACACACATCCACCCCCTCACCCCCCCTACCCCCCACCCCACACACACACTCGCCCACCTGGAACGAAGGACAAGTGAACAGAGCGCAGGAAACGCCCTTTTTCGTCGCCCATCGCCTTCAGCCGCTTCAGAGCCTCCAGGTACTGAATTCCTACGCACTTCATGTCTTGAGTTCCGCGCCCATAGATGTCGCCAGCCTCGTCCTTGTGGGCGCCGAAGGGGTCGTATTTCCAGTGTTCCTGATGGGGGGGGGGGGGGGGCGAAAGAGCAATGCGATGAATGAAAGAGGGAATAGGAGAAATTGAGAAAGAAGGAAATGGAACAGAATAGAATAGAGAAAAGGGAGTTATTATTATAAATTGATAATTGATCATTAAACATAGAGGATTGATCATTATAAATAGAGGGAAGAGAGTGATCATGAATTATTTTTTTTCCTAAGTAATGGTCGCTTCCTTCTTTACGACAGACAGGAAATTGCAATTACACAAGGTTGCAATAAAGTAAGGGAAGCGACACTTGTTGCAAAAAGGAGTTGAAGAAAGCAAGAGTGAAAGGAATAAGATTTAAAGTGAAGTGAGCTGATCTGTTTGTCACTTTCATGTTAATTGTGTTGCTGTATTAAATTGTGTATTAAGTAGTGTATTATTGGCCTACATATTTATCTATATGTACAGACTGAACTCATTTTATGACTTACTGAAAATATATATTTAAAAATAATAATAACTACAAAACGAAACAAAATCCGTAACGTTTTAGGGGGGAAAATCGACTCTTCATTAACTATTAAAATTAAATCCTACATTAAAATAAGTGAAGGGAGGATAGGTGGGAGAGAACAGAGGTACAGGCTGCATCAAAGTGTGGACAGGACAATAGAATGTATGGAACTGACAGAGGAACATTACATAGGGAACATACGGGCAGATCAAAATGTGACATTAAATGGGCAAGAGCCGACTCCCAACGTCTGTCCCGATGAACTGGAGCTGACCAGGAGGTTAATTTACAGTAATTTATTAGCGCGGAGACTTGACCAGAAAGATCGGTTATACAAGAAGGTCTGAAAGTAGGGGTAGTAATCCGTGGCTGGAATACATGAGAAACGTGGTTGGTGTGATGTGGACACAGCGGCGTAGCGTGCTAGGGTATCTGCCTGTTCATTGCCGGGGATTCCAACATGGCTGGGCACGCAGCAAAATCTGATAGATTTATGACGTGTGGACAGGCAGAACAACTAGTTCTGGATCTTACAAAGGGATTGGTGAGAAGGATAGGGGGATCTGATTTTGGTGAGTCAGGGAAAACAGAGGAGCAAATATAGGGGAAGAAAGACTTTATTAAGACACCCATGTTTCTGCGTACGTCTAGGATTGACATATTTCGGAGAGTATAGTACCGCCATGCAGTATCATATGCTATTTCTAGGCCGAAGAATATAGCTAATATGGATTCACGGAAAGTAATTTTGGCAATGTTAGTGGGGTTCTTGAGAGGGCTTCTGGGAGGAATGGAATAGCACTGTAATGATATCGCATCATAGTCCGTGAGGCAGGCGAGTAAGTCTTCACCACAATCTGACCAATTTTTATTATAGATAAGGCAATTTGCTGGGGAGATAGAGACAGTTCCGGTGCAAGTACTGAGTGTTAGAAGAGGTTCTGCAGGAATGGGGTTACCAGAGAGATCAATTAGAGTTGATAATGCTATAACTTGGTTTTCGGATGTTATTGCGACGAGACGGGAACGATCGGGTCGGCTACGGAAAGAGACTTTGCCTACTTGTTTTTGGAGACAGAGTGTTGTCAGAGTAGGGAGCTGTGGAAGGGAGGAAAAATCGGTCCCATTTGGCTGGGATAAATAGAGTATTTAGGATTTTTTGTAGAGATGGGGATAGTAGAAGTACAGGTGCGCGTGGAAGGGGGAGTAGTGTTGAGGGAGATAGTATTATGGGGTGGTGCACAATAAGGCTGTAAAGTAGTAATAAGGAAGGATGGGGTAGTTGATGAAGAAAGTTGTGGGGGTAGAGGTGTTGAAGTTGAATATGTTGGGAGAGTAGAAATGTCTCCTGGGGGTTGAGTGTTGACTAGGGTGAATACTGTACTAGCAGGCATTGAGGAAGGGGTAGTAGTTGTAGTGTTCGGATCCGCGCGCGCGCGAGAGAGTGTGTGTGTGTGTGTGCGTGTGCGTGTGCGTGTGCGTGTGTGTGTGTGTGCGTGTGTGTGTGTGTGTGTGTGTGTGTGTGTGTGTGTGTGTATGTGTGTTTACCCATCCCTAATGCGACCCAATTTCCTTACGGGAAACACAGGAACGACGTCGGTGTGTGAGTTGAGCAGAACAGCTGGAAGAGTCGGGTCCTCTCCTGGCAGGGTCATGATCACAGCTGGTTTGCCTGGCACGCACTCCACCACCTGGCACTCGGCACCGATCTCCTTCGCTTGGCCTTGTAAGTAGGTGGTGCAGGTAGCTGTCAAGTCGAAGGAATAAAGTGCTAGTTAATAGGTCTTAACCAATCAGTTTTATCCTGTATTTGGTGTTTTTTTTTAAGATTTTTTTTGTTTTTTTTTTCTTAAATTTCCAGCTAAAGTCTTAAGCTTCTGGTATTTGCTATCGACCAGGAATGACTTTGATTCAATGTTAAAACAACTGTTTCTTAGCCTCTCTCATGGTCTCAGCCCTGTAGCACACACACACACACACACACACTCATACTCTTGTTCACTCTCACTCTCACTCATACCCCTCACTCATAGTCTCACTCATACTCTCACTCTCACTCACTCTCTCCTTCACTCATACTCTCACTCATGTTCTCACTCTTACTTATACTCTCACTCTCACTCTCACTCATACTCTCACTCATGTTCTCACTCTTACTCGTACTCTCACTCATACTCTCACTCTCATTCTCTCCGTCACACGCATGCTCATACACACACTCACACACTCATCCCAGCTTCTGTATCTGATTGCGGCGGCACGTTTAGCTTATCAGCAGATCACCTTGACAACATGTTATTATAATAGTTCAATGACTTTCAACTATATAAATGATATAATATAAAAAATATATAAATCTGAATGACTCTAATGTACTTTATTTGGTTTGTTTGTTTGTTTTTCCTTCTGACGTTATAAACCATTATTAGCGTTCTATATTTTTGTTCTA